TTTAGCTGTCATTTCTTCCTGGAATTTCTTTAGAGGAGAGTTCTTCCATTTTGTCATTTTGGCCAGCTTTGTGTCTCTTGTTAGTTTTAAAAGCTTGTTATGCACTCTGATCCTGCAAGTACTGCTGTATTAAAGAGAGCATTTGACTGTCCAGGGCCTGTCTGTTCAGGAAGTGTTCTTTGAATAGTGTCTCTTGGTCTCTCTTGTTGAGACTGTTATGCCCGAATTGTGAGTCCCCAGAGACTTCCAAGGAGCCGGCACTGATGCAAGTACAAAAGGGTCTTTATTACAAGCTCGAGCAGGGGCTCACCCGTCAACCGGTGCAGCAGCAAGGTGAAGCCCCAAACAATAGCGAGCAGGGTTTTTATGGGGTAAGGGATGGAGGTGTTACAGTGCACACGTTGTGCATATAGCATCATCACATAAGCACCAATCATAATTGTACAACACCCATGGTAACAGTTTTGACCATTCAGTATCTGTGAGGCATCCATTACTTTTGGTGGGACCCAATCATGACCTTTGAGAATCCTTTGAAAATGACCAATTATGAGGTGAACTCAAAGGGCCTACGTGGGGTTTAGGCAAGAGCTGAGCGATTGGCTAGTTTGTACAGAGTAACTACCTGCAGTTCCCAGCCCTGACTCAGACCCCAGGAATGTTACACATTTCTTTTGATTGGCTGATCCGAGGGTGGTCCGAGGGTGACTTCAGCTGAAGCTTTTCCTGGAACTGGGGCTACATGCAGCCCGAGGTTGCTCTTAACGGAGGACTTAATTTCAGGCTCCTCAAGACTTTGGTTATTTTATTTCCCTACTTCTAGTGGTATTTGGGACTCTCCACCATATGTACTTTGACTTGCTTCTTGAGGTAGCAAGAAAAGAAAACAAACACACAGGGAACAAAGGCACACAAATGCATAGACAAATCCAATAAACAAGGAAACTGAAGGGAAAAAGAAAAAGAAAAAAGAAGACAGGAAAAAAAGGAGGAAACACAAATAACAAAAAGAAAAATAAGAAAAAAAACCCAAAAGACAAAGGACAGTCTAAAAGCATAAAACCAGAACTCCCAGCTACAAATAAAGAGCAGGGTGTATGCAGTGCTGATAGAAGAGCATATACACAGAGAGAAATGACAGGGCGAGGAGAAAATGATATTGGACATTGACCAGGCAGAGAGACTAAGAGGCTTAATTCAGAAAGAGAAAAAGGGGAATAGGGTAAGAGGCAAGGACGAGGAAATGAAGTTAATATTACTCAGAGAAACTGTATAGTCTGATTACTCCAGAAAGAGAGAGAGAGATACAAAGGTATTGGTGGAGGTATAGAATAACATCTAGAGAATGGATTAAATGTGACTGTTTAAGCAAACCAGTGACCAGAGTGCCCAGTCCAGCAGAGGGGAGGGATATGAATGAGACAAGGGAAAATATATCTGAATAGAAAGGATTGGTCTAGAATTAATCACGGCAGTGTATCCATGTTGGTCTTACCCTGGGCTCTGGTAAAAAAAAAAAAAAAAGCAGCTCTCTAGTGGGAATGGGGGTGGTTTGGTGTAGGCGGGTCTTAGCCTCCACTTGTCCTGACGGCTGCTCCCTGAGGTCTCACCCTGGTGGTTGTGGGGAGAAAAATGGTGGCGCCCCAGTCCCTTCTCAAACCAAGAGCTGCAAATCACTCTTTTGGGTCTGATCTCCCTGTACTGTGGGCGTAGCCAAGGTGGGCCGTGTTCTATGTCCCAAGCCAGGCCTCAATTCCAGATCTTAGTCTGCACACTTTATTGATACCACCTGAAATATAAACCCCGCAGGCCAAGTCCTTCCCTGCAGTTTCAAGCCTGCAGCTTCCCCACTGGGGATCGAGCCTGGAGAGCGGCAGAGTGGTTTCAGGCCGCTCCGCTTACTCTCTGGATCCAGCTGGAAAGCAGAGGAGGAGTTTCTCCTGGGGCCGCCTGGGACCAGGTCACCCAGCTCAAAGTCAGCACCACAGCTGGAAACCGGATCCCTCTCTGTCCGGAGCTGAGGTTTTTTCCTTCTCCAGGGACAGTTCTTTGAGCAGTTTCAACCACTCTTTCATGGTGAGCCTCGACTCACCATGGTTCCCCGCAAAGGGGGCTCCCTCCCCTCCTTCCATGTCTCCAGGTCCTGGCCCATTTTTATCTTCCCCAGTTTGCACTCATGCACCTATAAGGTTGTTATCTCAACAGTCTCTCCTTTTCCTCCCAAACTCCTGCGATTCTGTAAGGGTTCCTGTGGCTTCAGGCCTTCTCCATTTGAGAGATTGGGGAGAGTGAAATGTATGGAGCTCCCTACTTTTCTGCCATCTTGCCTGGTTTTATTTTTAAAATGAAGATTTTAAGAGAGTCCTGTAAGTATTTCACAAAATGGGTCTCAGTAGTTGTCATTTGCATAACAACAGTCTAAATCACCAGTAATGGGGAGGAAACTGCAAATAAGGATGTGCAGAGCCTGTTGTGGAAGCAGAGGTTTTGAATAGCAATTTCAGGTCTGTGACAAGGCCCTGAGGGCTTGGTGGAGAAGGGAGTGGGAAACAGCCTGGGGTGTGGCTGGGGATAGGGGCTAATCCAGGCCTTGTGGGTGCAGAATTTATATAGTTGGTGGTGGTGGCCCTCTTTAAGAAAAAGAACCCGGGGAGGCGCCCGGGTGGCTTAGTCGGTTGAGCGTCCGACTTTCGCTCAGGTCATGATCTCGCGGTTCGTGGGTTCGAGCCCCGCGTCGGGCTCTGTGCTGACTGCCAGCTCAGAGCCTGGAGCCTGTTTCAGTCTGTGACTCCCCCTCTCTCTGACCCTACCCTGCTCACGCTGTCTCTCTCTCTCCTAGAAATAAAACATTAAAAAATTTTAAAAAAAAAAGAAGAAAAAGAAAAAGAACCCGGAATTATGTGTCAGATCTGAGAAGGGGCCACACAAGTGAGGCTTCAGCCTCTGTGGCTCTGGAGGAAACCTGCCTCTGGTGGTGCTTCAAACCACAGGGTGGTAGCAGGAGGACCTTTGTCCCCAGGGCTGCTGTGCCTCAGCACAGAAGACCTTTGACCTGGCCACCTATCCTTCATGGATTGATGCATTTGAAGGCCCTGCTCGTGCAGAAGAGAGGGCAGCAAAGCTGAGGATTTCCTCCTTGGGGAGAGAGAAACAGCACAAGGCTTTTGAAAGACTCCAAACAGGCTGCTACATGCTATTTAAATGCTGTTTTGATTCCTGCACCCAGGAGGCTACTCTGTAGCTGACTGATGGCATCTCTTATTCTTGTTTCAAAGCTAATTGCGTGTCTACAAAGTTGCCAATAATGTGGTAAAGCCTCCTATTTGACTAGAGCAGACCTTCCTCTCATGGACTGCAAGTCCTCTCCCCCCACACCTCCCACCATGATCCTCACTCTTCTGGCATGAACTGTGAGTGTGATTTGTGCATGCACACTCTTGGGGTTTCTCTTTCTGGGATCCTTGTCTCTATGGTTTAAGTTGAACACGCTGACATGCACAAACATCAGTGCTCAAGCTAGTGTGTTGCTTTGCTGGCTTCGGTCCTAGCTCCATTGTGGTCCACTCCCATCCAAATCAAATGAGCATCAGGTCCGGGTGGACCCAGGGACCCACGTTATGTCATCAGGATTTGCCGTTGCCCTCTGCTTTCCATGAGGCCTCACTGTCTAGTCAGTTTGTTGCAGGGAGCAGCCCCGACAGCTCCCCAAGGGAATCGAGCGTCTCCTTCACAAAAGTTGAGTTGCAAGCCCTGGCATGGGTTTGCTGGGCCAGGTCACATGTCCAGCCTCGATCCGGTGACTGAAACAAAGGGCATGAAATCCACTGATTGGCCAGATCTAGGTTATGTGCTCACCTTTTGATTCTGTAGAGAGTTAACATCCCCAAATTATATAAACTAGGAAAAGCTGACGGGGCAAAGTCTTCAGAGGAAAAAAGATTACTATTGGCATAAGGTGAGGAAACAGAGGGCAGGCAGAAAAAATAGTCATAGATGTCTACTGTCCCGTCCAGGACAGTGGAGCATCCTGGGATCTGAAGGGATAAGTTCACCCCAAAACTGGTACAAAACACTACTCAAAATGCCTAAGAGCCACACATAACCCCAGGTGTCATGGAGCCTGGAATTAAGAACCACATGGAGACAAGAAGAGTTGGAAACAAGCATAGGCCTTCCTGCTGGGACTGCTGCTTTGGGGGCTCAGGGACGTGCAAGGGCACCGGTGCCCAGAGGCTATATCGGTAGGGGACCTAGACACTGATAGGAAACAGCATGTAGGAGGTCATGAGGATGAGAATTCCGGAGGGCTTCTCCTCCGAATTTGTTAGAAATACGGCAAGTTGGGGCACCTGGGTGGCTCAGTCCGTTAAGCATCCGACTTCAGCTCAGGTCATGATCTCACGGTTCGTGGGTTCGATCCCCACATCAGGCTCTGTGCTGACAGCTCAGAGCCTGGAGCCTGTTTCAGATTCTGTATCTCTCTCTGTCTCTAAAAAAAGGAAAGAAAAGAAAAAAGAAATACGGCATTTTTTTTGGAGAGAGAGAGAAAGATTGAATGTGAGCGAGGGAGGGGCAGAGGGAGAAGGAGAGAGAAAAAAATCAATGCAGGGCTTGATCTCACAATCGTGAGATCATGACCTGAGCTGAAATTAAGAATTGTATGCTAACCAACGGAGTCACCCAGCTGTCATAGCATCTTGAGCCCCACTCCAGACCTCCTCCATCGGAATCTGAATTTGAATCAAATCCCTAGTGGTTTCCTGGGCAGTGTTAAAAGACTCACCTCTTGTCTCTTAGCCCTCACATTCAGGGCTGGTGGGACCTATGTTAGGTCTTTAATTCAGACTTTCCAGAATACAGTGTGTGTGAAGGAGCCTTAAAAACAGCTGTTTGATGGAACCACTGTTTCTACTTCTGAGACTGTTGCTTAGCAAAATTGCAGAGGCAGGGACAAAGAAGATTATGCACAGTGATGTCAATCGCAGTATTGTTTTTACTCAGAAACTACTACATATTCACAAATAGGAAAGGGCAAAGTCAAGTATGACACATTGAACATTGACTGTTATGTTACCATTTGAAATGTTGCTTTAAAAGAGATTTTCAGGGAGTGAGCAGGGAACATAGTGATACACCAGATAGACACAGTGCCTGGCCTCGAGGAGCTGACACTCTCCTGGGGAAGACAAACACTAAGCACGTGGACAATTGAGACAATTTCAGACTGTGAAATTCCTCCTCGGTTGGGGGGTATGGGGTAATGTGGTAGAGAATCCTGGGTGGGCTGGGGAGGACTGTTTAAGTGGGGGCACATAGGGAGAGCTTGTCCTGGGAGCTGTCATTTAGAGTGCGATCCAAAAGATGAGAGGGATCCAGCGAAACAAACAGGCAGGAAAAGATCATCCAGGCAGAAGGAACGGGAATTCCCAGGGTGCTGGAGTTGGGGAGCGTGGCTGTTTGCGAGATGTCATGGGCGATGTGTGGCTGGAGCAGAGCGAGCCAGGAGGAAGCTGGATGCTGAGGAAGCCGGAGGAAGGAGCAGTCGCAGACTCCTCCAGTCTTATAGGCTGTGGGCAGAGCCTTTTGTTCTTAGAGTAAAGTGTGATGACAGCAGATGCAGAAGGGAAGTGGTGTCAGTCAGGTGGCTGAACAGGAGGTCCCAGCGGGTGTCCCCCACAGAAACACCGGCTTGGCAATCACCTGTGGACAAATCCCTTTGTGAGAGCTCTGGAGTTCAGTTGAAGGTATCAGCACCCCAGTGGACCACGAAACCCAACAACAGCCACAGAAAAGGGTAAAAGGCACAGTTGCACTCCGCTTCCATCATCCCTACCCCAGACCAACAGTATCCAGAGCCAAGAGAGACTTCAACCCTCTCCTCTCTCCCTCTCCCTTTGTAGTTCAGTCCCTGCGGCTGTTTCCACCATCCCCCTTTCTCTCCAGCTGCTTCTGGGGGGTGCTTTTCCCTCTCCCCCCGTCTCCGTCCTCTCCGCTAGCAAGAGTGGCTCCCTGCCCTCCGCGGCTTCCATCGCCCCCAGGTCACCTCTCCGAGCCACACCCCTGCCACGTTCTGTGGTTCAGGTTGTGCAGACTGTAGTGTTCATCCTCAAGTCGGTTTTCTAGCCGTGTGGGCTGGTNCTCTCCGAGCCACACCCCTGCCACGTTCTGTGGTTCAGGTTGTGCAGACTGTAGTGTTCATCCTCAAGTCGGTTTTCTAGCCGTGTGGGTTGGTTTAGTGTTGGTCTGGCTGTGTTTTGGGGATGAGAGATGCTGAAGAGATGTCCGTGCTGTTCTGCCATCTTGGCCCCACAGTGGTTCCATCCATCAGACCAGACAACAACCACATAGAAGCTCCACACCTGGGTTTCCAGCTCAACTCTTCCAATTTTTAGAAGCTAAAATTCATTCTTTAAACGTCTCAATTTGGCCCCTGAAGCCTAGTTCCTGACTCTTGGTTTAAGGCACTTGACTGGAGATGGGCGGAGGGGCAGGACCCCGAGACGGGGTCCAGATTCTGGATGGAAAGCCCCTGCCTCCCACCCACTGGCCTCCTTGTGGATGTGCAGGGGGGCACCTTCCCAGAATCAGCCTCTTGGTCAGGTGCAGTACCCCGCAGGCTGCCGGGTGCCTCCCTACTGTTTCAGGGGCCCTGTGGCCAGTGGAGCTGCCCCCACTACCCCCCACCAATGCCTCCCTGCACACGCCCTGCACATCAGCGCAGCCCTGTGAGACCAAGCACACGTACTGTCTGAGCTGATGGATTGTGGGGACGGGTGAAGAGCTGGAGTCAGACCCCCAGGGCAGGGCTCGTGGGAAGAAGCATGGGTGTGCCCTGACGTGGGAGGACAGTGAGCAGCCCCTGCAGCCCTAAATGTGTATTGAGCACCTGCTATGTACTTGGTCCTCAGTTGGGAGCTCTGTGGATTGTGGGAAAGAGGGAGACTGGGCATCTGTCCTGGAGAAACTGCATAATGCCAGATGAGGAAGTGGTGCTGTAGAGGGTTTCGGCGAGGAGAGGGGATGCACCTGATGGGAAAGAGGGGCGGGGTCTCGGTGTCCCCAGAGCACCAACAGGACTTGATCTGCAGGGGACAAGGACAGGCTGTGGCTGCACTTGGAGAAGCAGCATGCACAGAAGCTCAGAGGCAGGACATCCAGGGTGTGGGGGAGTGGAGCGGATGTGAGGGGCTCCCCAGTCCCACCTGCTGCCGGGTCAGGCCTCCTCCCTCCCTTCCTCTGTGCTGACAGGGATGGTGGGGAGAGCAGCGACGAGCGAGCACTCCTGGGGCCCCTGTTACTAGCTCTCTATTTCAGATGAAGAAGCAAGGTACAAAAAGGGGAGCTGCTTGACTGAGGTCACAGAGCAGGGAGCCCCCAGCCTGCATCCCTAACTATGGGCCCTACGCCGCCCCAAAGGGTACAGTCCTGGAATGGACTTTGAAAGGGGTCTGATCCCCAGTGCCCCATCAGATGCTAGGCCATCCTCAGAAAATACCCCTTGACAACTACTTGCACAGCCTCAGGCCCATCAGACAACATATTGATGCTCCTGGAAGCCAGCGTGGCCTCCCTGTGGAGTGGCCCAGGATAGCTTAGGAGAGGTGTGGGGCAGCCACAGGTGTCCCTGAGCTTCCCTGCTGCTCGCTTCAGCCACCTTGGCTGCCCTGGCAGGGAGCCTGATGGAGGTGACTGCCATGCAGGGAGGAAAGTGGCAGATGAGGTGATGGAGGGCACGATGCATCCTCTGTGCACACGTTCAGGTGTTTACTTGGCAGTCATGGAGTTGGGTCTTGCACCGTGGCCATCATGAGTACAGGCCCAGCTGTCCAGCTGTGTAAACAGGGCAGCCCCTTGGGCTGCCAGTCTCAGGGGAAAGCACTATGCAGAGAAAGCCATCCCCCAGTGCCCCCCAGCACCCACACAAGTAATCGTGCTGCTGTGAGGCTGTGGCCATAGGTCATAGTGAGGGGTAAACAGAGGCGCAGGACACTCAAGGCAGGCCCTGACCAAGATCCAGGATGCTAAAGCCAGACAGTCTGGGCTCTGTGATCTAAGGCAGTGACCTCCATGCCTCAATTTCTTCATCTGCAGAAAGGAGCAGTCATACTGGCATACACTCGCCCCCTCTTCCTGCTGCACCCCGAGTGTGCACTTTCTTTCTGGCTCGCCTGTGTTCACCTCCCCTCTCCTTCCTCACTGTAACCGCCCGGAAAAGTAGGTGCTAGGAGTTTTTGAACAAATTAGCGTATAAATGAACACTCACACCCTGCCCCCACCTTGGGCTCTCTCAGAGGGTGAGCTGGATGGGACATTGAGATCCTCCAGCCTGCCCAAGAAGCACCAAGCATGTGCATGCCTTCACTTACCCCTGATGTGGCCGATGGGGGCTGCAGGAATCCCTGGGGGAGAGGCCGGGTGGGCGGGGCAAGGCCCAGAAGGTTCTGAAGACCAATGAGGCCAGTGAGATATTAGAGGTCTTTGGGGGCTTCTGTGAGGGATTCTTCTTGCAAAGAGGTGGGCAGGGTTTGAGAAGGTGCCCCCTAGGGGTGTCTGGGTGGCTCAGTCAGTTAAGCGTCAGACTTCAGCTCAGGCCATGATCTCACAGTTCATGGGTTCGAGCTCCATGTCCGGCTCCATGCTGACAGCTAGCTCTGAGCCTGTAGCCTGTTCAGATTCTGTGTCTCCCCCTCTCTCTGACCCTCCCCTGCTCACACTGTCTCTCTCTCTCAGAAATAAATTTTAAAAAATTAAAAAAAGAAGAAGGTAGCCCCTTGTTTTTGGCTTGAGTGCTAGTTATGCATATATGATGGCTGGAGTGGAGGCAGCCACACTGCAACCGTCAAGGAGTGACACCGTTATTCTGTTAACAGTAAGTAGAGTAGAGAGGCGGGCAGCACCTGAGTCTCTGATGACGTTGTGAGCCAGCAGACTGCCTCTGAACTTCCCATTTCTCACACCATCATCAAACATTCACGGTGGCTGCCTTAGCAGTTTAGCCTCTCTTGGTAGGGTTTTCTGTCACTTGAGCCAAACATCTCCAATTGATACAGCCTTCTAGTGTCAGTTAAAATGTCTCTGTTCTTACCTAGTCCCCAGCCGACTTGGATCTCTGCCCTTGTCCCTCCACTCAGCACCCATGAGAGCAGATTGTGACTGTGGTGCTCTGTCTGTCTGGTTGGCCCATTCATGTTTGGTCTGTGAACACCTCAGGGCCAGGCCTCTGCCTTCTCCTTTCTGGGAGACCTGAGGCTGCACGCACTGGGCCTTCAGGTCACCGCAGGGACCTTACCACACCCTCCCCTCCCCGAGTCAGAGCCTCTGGCCATCATGAAGCCTTCTAATTCACTTTGGCCCAAGCACTGCTTCTGTGCCCCAAGGGCTTCTACAGCCTCTTCAGTGTAAAGTGTGAGGTCTTGTCTACATAGAGCTTCCTAGCCATCAGCTCTTGCCTCGTGCGTGTCTTCCAGCGCTAAGCTATTAATTTCTTGCCAGCTCGGCCTCTCTTGCAGCAGGTCCGGGAGGCCACAGTGCAGACAAAGGAGTGCATGATTGAGACGTGGAAAAAGCAGTGATGCGTACATCTCATTCCAAACCGAGTGAGATTCTCAGCATGTTCTGGAAAAGTCCTGGGGTGTGCAAGTAGGGCATAATGTTCCCCCAGGCATGGTGGAGGGGTGAAGGCTCGTGGCCTCCCTGTAGCAGCTCCCATGCCGGCTGTGAATGGGGGACTGTCCTGTGGTCACACGAGCAGAACTCTGCCAAGGAAAGCAAGGGAGAGAGGGATTCTGGTCCTCAGGGAGCCTGGAAGGTGTAGCAGTGCTGGAG